TGATTCTTCATTATTCCCCCGTGAACCTCTTTCCCTCTTTAATGTCCTGGCTCCCCCAAAGTAGCAGGATTGCAACTCACCTTGACCCTCTGGCCAGGTTCCAGACATTCAGTTCTGTTTCTTTTCCTGATTGAAACTAAAGAGAACCTCAGATTTCTGATGGAGAGAGAAAGTATAATGATATGAGGAAAAATAACCCTGACTGTTTCGCATCTGGGTCTAAGCAAACAACTCCTGGATGTTGTTATGTGACAAAGGTTTGTGTACCTTTTCCTTGCTAGAAATGATATTTTAAATGGCTCTCCCTTTAAAATCTCTTGGTTGATGGTAAGTCCCAGAAATAAGTGTCTGGCAAAAGCAAAGAACAGGAATAGAGGTAATATTAAAATCCATCCTAACACAATTACTTTGAATCAAAATCTGCCTCCTTAAAATGTCTTCAGATTCATCTCAGTTATTTTTCCCCAAAGTATCTTCATTCTATGATGGAGTCACTGAAACGTGAAAGGGTTTTAGATTCAAAAATGATTCTCTAAGTTCAATGCAAAGAACACTTTTGACAGAAACTTCTCTTCACCATGATATCATGTAAGCAAACGTTGATCCATAAATCTTGTTATGAAAGACAACGGGAAGAGAAGCCATCAGGTAAAGAGCCATCTGCAGCAGAAATAGCAAAGAGAAGGAGGGCATCGGTCGATTTTGTTAATTGACATTTGAGAAGGCAGTTCCTAATGAGTGACTGAGATGGCCAGGAGACAGGCAGAATACAGACGACAAATACACTAAGAAATAAGCAGATAACACATCGAAAGTGCTTAACAAGGGTCAGAAGTTCCTAAGCAGAACAGAAGAAGAAACGTCTTTTAAAATAAGAAGATAGTTTACCTTTAGGAACTCATATACATTGCTGGTGTTGAAGTAACGTGATACAACCACTTTGGAAAACACTTTGGCAAAGTCTCACAAAGTTAAGCACACATTTAACATACAATGCTCCAGCTATACTCCTACCAGGTAGTAGTGAAATAAAAATATATACCCACATACTTTTGTTCCTAGTAGCCAAGAAAATCTGGACACATCCCAAATGACTGTCAACAGGTGAGTGGATAAACAAATTATGGTTTACTCACACAATGGGAATCCTACCCAGAAATACAGTGGATGAATCTT